AAATGTCTTGCTACCGAGAAAATGTTCATGGATCGCTTAGAAGCAACGAAGATGCTGACTTAATGCTTGGGGAGAGCATTGGAATGTCTCTCAAGGGACTTAGTGTAAAGCAGAAGGGCATTGCCAAAATTAAGATAATGCAAATTCTTGCCCAACGTGAAGTAGCTGTTTCAGTAATTGTCACGGCGTCCTCTTCCGGCTGGCGCAATCTTTCAGCTGATTCTCGTACAGATAGCATATATTCAAGTGAGAACCTTGTCCCTGCAATGAGCGCGTGTTATGGCGCTTGTCGCAGCCCCACGCCTACATCAAACGAAAGCCTCGGCAAATGCTTTTCTCACATTAGCAAGTGAATCTATTTTTGCTGGAGTCATGCACCATCTGTAGTGATCAGTCGTGAACAGCAATAAAAGAAAAACCAGATGCAATGAAAATTTTTTTTTAAACCGAGGAACAGACAGAAATTATACCATCTGACGAATAATATCATTCCTCATTTTCACTTGAGCATTCAGCATTCGAGAAAATCAGCAAAACAAGTGGTTGAAAATTGTGTAGGCTAATCCCTAAGCGTCGCGTTGAAAACCCCTAGTAAAAATTCTTTCTTACAGTGGAACGCTGCTTGCACTAGTCATAAAATAATCCTTGAATTTTTCACTAAAATTTCCCGCTGCAGTGGGGCTTCGATTTAATGAGCTTTGAGTCATATCCCGAAGAGCACCTGGTTCATCCTCACTTCGTTCCTCCATTGCCCGGGAATAATATTGCCATCTTCAGTCTCATGATCCACATAATTTTGTGCTGCATACTTCAATTCTTTATTACCTGTGGCATCAGTACTTATCAAATAAAATGCAAGTAGCTTTGATGATGTCATCGACTGTATCAGGCTCTGTCTCGATGGGTCGTAAAAAAAATGCTCCAACGTGAACACAGGATTCCAAAAGCATTTTGGACAATGCGTCGAGCTCTGCTCAAACGATAATTGAACACTGCTCGTGGTAGGTCTAATTGTGCATTAACATTCCTACCGGGGTAGGGCTTCAGCAAATTGCACTTCAAGGGAAATTCAATATAAAGACATGAGGCAGAGGAACATCACTCTCAGGTGGTGCTTTGTCGCTTGGTAAATCTATGGTTTCTGAGATCAAGACTTTTCCAAATAAAGAGTCACTGAAAATTCTCTATCACTCCGGCAACCATATCAACCAATGTCCATAACTAGAAATTTATACTGAGCATCCACTGCAGCGAGTAAAACTTTGGAATTAAATCCTTTATAGTTGAAGCACTCGCTGCTCCCAGGACTCTCCATGGCAACATGCCTGGTGTCGATGCACCGACACAATGGAAATTCCATAGTTCCCAGAAGCTCTTTGATATCAGTACCCAATCATTTTATAAGAGGTTGGCATGAAATCCCGTGATAAATAAGTCCAAATTGCGCAGCAGGTTTCCTTGAAAATCGATGAGACAGTTTCCCAAGCCTGTAGCAGCTTGCCACAGTTAGTTGTAGATCACCACTAGCTAATAAGCGAAGCGTGACTGCCAATCTTTCAGCACTCGAAATGGGACAGCTATGAAGAGAAAAATATGCTGCATTTTAACCAGCTGTCCAACTTCAGTCGGTGTTTTCGATTATAGTATTACATCATGGAATGTGTGCCATGGGGTTTTCTGGAATTTAGAGGGATTGGGAATCTTCCTAGTAGGAAGCGATACGATGGAAGTATTCGAGAATTCACCAAATCCGCGGGTTCATCGAAATTCTGCATCCAACTAGGGATATTTCGAATCCCTCTGAGTTCCACAAAACCCCAATAAAATTGATCGCCAATTTTCCGCTGGCAGAAAAACCACTAACCTTGGTGATGTATGAATGGCCCAACTTTCGCAAGTAGGTCGTCAAACCGTCTGGTACTCATACGGAAGGTTCTAAAATGAATCTCACGGTCATGGAGACACATTTCCTGCACTAGAAGATCGAATTCGCCTTATGCAGCACGCTCTCTGTTCAGAAGTCGCATATAAAAAAACCTTGGAAAAATTTTTTCAGCTCCCCTATACTATTTGCAGAGAGCCACAATCGATAAAGCTTCACAATTTCCTCGTCCGCAGTTTCCATCTTCGCTGCACTGCACTGACGGTAAAGAAATATACCTGCTGTGAAAAACTTGCGGTCTGCCAGAGGCAACTAGCAGTTTGCTGTCCATTAACGGACTGCTGCGCGTACTTCACCCAACATCAAATAGTGCGACCCCACAATAAGAAGTAGCAAGGAGGCTTTTATTTAAGGTGAAGGGCTGGATGGATGGATGGCCATTTAGATTAGGCTGCCCCAAAGCAGCGAAAATTCCAGGCGCTCAAATGGCATCCAGCATGTTGCAGTACAGCATTTTCCTTGCTGCATTGCAGGATTGTAGTCCAGGAACGGAGCATGCTGGATTGAATTTTTCGTCCAGCATGCTGAATGCTGCAACTGCATACTTTTCAATACAACATGCCCGTATTGGATTGGGTTTTACCGCTGCTGTACATGTTGTACAGCACGAGCATGAACTAGGCCTAAGGCGTGCGACCTCCAGCGGGAGGCCAGATACCCTAGCATTCCCATGTGATTCCGCTTTTGGATGCCTTTACATCCGGAAGGGGTGTTGCTTGGGATGTTCCAGCTCTTGGCAATAGGAGTGTACCAGTGTAAGGTACTCTGCTAAAGTTCTGCTTCTTCATCTCTCCCTGATGAAGTAGAAGTTGGGAGTCAAAGGAGGAAAATGCTGTAGAAGGTCGCTCAATAGGTCGGTTTTTTTTCCTATTTCTTTTCACTATTGCGAAAAGTCGGCTTATGTTTGGGGTATGTGCGGTTTCCCAACAATGAGCCAAAGGTGGCCCAATGAAGTGCTAACAGGACATGCGCGACCATTAGTTGGCTTGAACCAACCGTAAGCCAACCATATGCCAGTGATAGCCCAACTAAGGCGTCGACGAAAAGCCATCGACGGTCCGATGGGAAATTTTTGACAGGGCATCAAGAGTAGAAGCAACGGCGGAACAAAATCGGATGAAATCGATGGAAGGCCCCAAGGACAGTGGTCAAATCGGTACCGACTTCCCGGTTCCTTTTCAGGACTGTCAGGAATGGATATCGCGAGTTGGGTCCCAGTCAGTATGAAACGTCGCCGGGTTTGAAGGTAAAGATGGTCGCGCCGTTCCCAACTTGGGCATCTACGACGAAACCGCGACGAAAAACCGCTGGATGACGTCGCTTCCCCCGATCGATAAAGCCCATCTAGGTCTACCCTCGTCTGGTCATAACATTTCTCCCATCGGCGCGCTATCACGTCCGACTGCAAGTGCAGATGGGATGCTCTTCCTCCCTTTCTCCTTCCCGTCCTATATATGCCTTTATGCATGACAAGAAAACTTAAATTTAAAAATGTTTTCGCCGTTGGCATTTTCACGAATTTTGCAGCAATCATTGGTTGCTATGTTCGCAAAAGACTTTTGAAATCTCATTTTAGTCGATCCTGCCAAAGAAAGGCGACTCAAAACAAGTCGGATATCGAAAATGGGAAGGTGACGTCTCCTTTCAATCTTGCTGTCGCGTTCCCCGCCTTCCTGTAGCCGAAATTGCATGGAACTTCGAAGGGATATTGAGAACAAATGAATGCAGCAGCAAAAGAATGGCTAAAAATGCCAAATCTTGCCTCTGATCCAAAAAACTAAAACAAATTATCAGCATTGGCAATATTTCCCATGACTGCAAAATCTGCACGAAATGCTAACGGCATATCACAGCTTCATGTAATTTTTCTTGACGTTCTCGGATCCTTTTCTGCATGACTAATCCTTTCCCGGCACCCTGCGCGACAGCAGCGCCGCCCTAGCCAAGGCAGCTCGAGCGAGCTCGGAGAACGTGACGTCATGAAGCGAGCACGCAATATCACGCGAGCAACCTGAAGATAGGCCCGATGCATGAACCCCTTCCGAGACGGAGAGAGTGATGAACGACCCAGATTCGCTCTCAGACGATCCGACGCTGTTTTCTGTCGGCATGTCCCACGCAAGCTGAGGTATTCGAAAGTATTACCGGTTCTTGGGTAGATTTCAGCACGACGGCCTGCCGGACGTCAAGGAATTCCAAGAACGATGACTGGACGAGGCTAGGAAGTGATTCATATTCGGCCTTGCGATCCAGAAGGGGAAAACAAGAAGACGCGCGCGTCACGTCTCGCTTCGAGCTGCGCCTGAATCAAAGTTGACAGCTCTCCCTTTTCCTCGAGCGAGTGCTGACTTGTCACCGAGTCAAACAAGGCGGTACGAGTGAAGTACTGCGCGGATTGGGGAATCTTCGACTCCGCGCCGGTACATTTACTTAATTATGTCTGGGATATCGCTCGCAGTTTAAATTGCCAGTTTTGAGGGAATATCACCGGATCGCAAAGGGGTAAGTACGGAAAGTAGGCCTGGAGCAGGAATAGTCCTCGTGACAGGAATAATAAACAGGAAGTCGAAAGCGAATGTAAACGAAGAATCGAGTATGCCCGAACCTTCTTTCCTATGGCTGCTCGCAAGCACGCGCGTGCGCTGGTTTGCGTGTTTACGTCTTGGCAGACACAAACAAGCGATGCCTAAGAATAGGGCGAGGGACGGGTGCTGATTCGTTGGCGGGTCGGTTCCGGTGGGGAAGTCCGTCTCTTAAGAATCTAGGTTTCGCGGAAGTTTTCCGCAGTTGTGTTTCTGTGAAGTAAGGGGGACGGAACGCATCAAACTCCTGCAACGTAGCTGGGGTGCCGATCGGTGTGCGTGTAGTGTTGAATCTTCAATCGGCTTCGGTTGGTGACGAGCCAAGCTGTGTCGCAATGCAGCCCTAGGCTATGGGCGTTCGTGTCCTCTGGGCACTATTAAAGGGTTCAAGTTGGGGCCTATGCAAGGTGTTTTTTTTTTGCATCTTAGGTTGCTGATGTGACGTTTGATGACTTGAGACCAACAAAACGATTGTGATGAAGAGTGTGTGGTTGCATTTAGTGTCCGCCCTGTGTGGATTGTTCATATCAAGCACCTTTGCAGAGAAAATCAGCCAAAGGTAGGCTCTAAGTTACTTTTTACCCATGTTTTTGTCAAATCTGCTGTATTTCTTATTTTTGTGTTTTTTGTTTGTGCTTTCCAGAGGGTATCTTTTAACAGTCCCAAAGATTCTTCAATCAAACTCAACAGAATCTGCCTGTCTCTCCTTCCTCAATGTCAACAGTTCAGGCAGTGCTGTTCTCACAATCACAAAGCAGGGCTCAGATGACATCTTGGCTGGCCTGAGGCATCGTTTTAAAAATGGTATCTTCTTATTTTACCGTAGCAAAGCTAATAGTTATGTACTAAAGTGAACTACTACTGTAGTTGTAGTTCATGGCAATGTCGATGGTTAACTTAGCACCTTTGAGTTTCTAATTGAGAGTAAAAGAGAGGAATAGAAAGCCTTCATTATGTTTGTTGTTCAGTACCTAAAGTAGCAGTGAATGCATTTTAATTTTTTAAGTTTTCACCAGTACGAAAAAAAGGAGCAGAGTAGAGTAGAGTAAGAGCAGAGTAATGCACTAGAGGAACTTTTTATCCTTTCCTTTTCTGCTAGGTTAGAACTCAGGTGCAGGAGTCCTTGTGTATCATATTTCTCATTGGGGAGGAAAGGAACTTTTTAATAACATGGAACTTACTTTAAACTAAGTTGGAGAAATTTAAGCTATGAAGTGAGAAAGAAAAAAGCAAAACCTATTTCCATAAGTATGGAGGGGCTGTACATTTTTAGAGTGTGGATAGTGGTGATAAAAGGAAAGAACCATGAATGACAATGCAGACGAAGATTTATGGCATGACTTGTATAGGTAAAGAACCAAGAGGAAGATGAAGTAAAATAATTAAATGGAATAGGAATGGAGATAGAATGGTAAAGTCATGGTTGGTACAAGAAAAAAGGCAAAAGACAAGGCATTGTGATGTCTCATCCAGAGGGAATTCTTTATCAGGTGCCAGTGAGTGCCTGGAGCTGTTCATCCCTCCTGTTTCGAAGTCTACTGCATTGTTCAGCCTCAAATTGGAGTTTGATGATCTGCCCGACTACAAAGTTAACAACAGCAATCAAGTGGAGATTGGTAGTAGTCCTGCCATTACATTTATCCAGACAGACAAGCCTCTGTATCAGCCAGGACAGAAAGTTCAATTTCGCATCTTGACTGTCGACTCTTCCCTACATGCTCTGGATGATCAGGTTAGGCTGCAGTCTAATTTTGCTCAATGCATTGCATTAAGATGGAAGTGAGGTAAGTACATAAGACATTGTCTTGTGTTAAGGATAACCTGATCAGGAAAGTTGTTTTTCCTATCTTCCATTTTATGGAAGCTTCTGTAATTCTTTTAGGGGTGGCAGCATCACAGAATTTTCCATCTCTTTCTGTCATATGGTTTCATAGAACCAGGTAACTAGCATCCATCTTGCTTTTCTGGTATTGTCTTTTTTTTTAATCAAGAAATTTTGTAGCTACAAATGAAAAGCAAGACCAATGGACATTTGAAGATTTTGTATGTGGTTGATGTAATTTTAAATAGGAATATGATGCCAATTTCTTATGAGTCATAATTTCAAATAAGGCAATGTGAAGTGAAGGCAGTGATTTTCAGTCACAGGAAGTGCTCTGGAGACAGTAGCTCATATTGGGGTTAGCACAATTTGAGCTTTTCAGATTTTTTTTTTTTCATCCCTAGGTAAGGGAAGTTTGGGTGGAGGATCCATCAGGGATTCGAGTTGCACAGTGGAATCAGCTTGAAACAAAGTCTGGCTTTGTTCAGTTGGAGTTCCAGCTCTCTGCAGAGCCTCCCTTGGTAAGATTTTGGGAATGGGGCACAGTTTGAAGGGGCGATGTGTTGGATTGGGATTTTCCCCCCAAGGTGATACCTTGCCATTTTGGAAAAAAGGGGGCGTGGAAGATCAAAGCAGAGATGAAGCATGGACAGCCTGAAGAGGTGAAGCATTTTGAAGTAGCCGAATATGTCCTGCCCAAGTTCTCAGTCACTGTCATACCTCCTAAGGTATTCCTTGGCAATATGGAGAATCTCAATTTGGAGATTTGTGCCAGGTAAGATGGCATGGAATGGCACTGGCTTGCAGGATTCATCAGAGCTGTGGTAATAAATCCCCCCCCCCCCCCCCCCCTTTTTTTTTTTCAGGTACACACATGGTCAGCCAGTGAAGGGTGATCTCTTGTTGAGAGTTGAACCCAAGATTTACATGAGCTATTTCAAATACCAAGACCCATCTTTGTTTGAAGAGTTGCAGGGAAATCCTGATAAGTATACATCTATCATTCAAGTGCCGGTAAGAAGAGAAATTAAGTGAATTCAGTAAAAGTAATCAGGGTTCATGTTAACTCACTATAGTGAGTCCTTGATTCATATTTTCTTGGAGGGACTCATATTTGCAAAACATATGAGTCCGTGGGACACATTGACAACCACACCTGAACATGCTCCCCCTGAGCTGAAGCTAGGTGCCAGGACTCAAGGTTTAAAAAGGCTAGTTTGAACCCTGTGTAATGTTGATGAAGCATGACACAGAATTAATTGGAGCAGCTACCCATTGATATTTTTTTAGGTCGCCTGCAATTTTAAAGTTGCTGGGATAGCTTGTGTCTCCTTAAATGATTTTGACCCTCTTTAGAGTTACATTTTAAAAATTATCTGTTTCACCATTGACCTTAGATATGTGATATTTGAAGTGCTCTCTTTGGGCTCATTTAGATTAAAGGCTGCCACAAGGAAAGCATAGCAGCTTCGATCTTGGGACTCGATGATGGAGTGCTGAAGCCATCTGAACTGAATGTGACTGCAACTGTGACAGAAGAAGGGACAGGGACAGCCTTCTCTGAGTCAAAGATGGTCCAAGTGGAAAGGCATCCATTGAAGCTCGACTTCCAGGCTTCATCTCAGTATTACAAACCTGGCTTTGTTTACAATGGTCTGGTGAGTAGGCCTCTGTAACCCTTTGGTAAATACCAGCAGGTGTTGTGTATGAACATTTTAGTTAACTTCATTAATATTCTAAATGCATGGTTTATGTCATCTTCCATGTTGTTTGGCTGCAAAATTTACTTTATTCATCATTCTTGAGATGTATTAGAGAGAAAACTGTCAAAGGAATTTCAACAAATATTTGATTTGGTTGATATTGTTTTAACACTCATGAATTTTTAGTGAAGTGTCTTTATTTTCCTGTGTTTAGTTGGAGGTGAAGGAAGCAGCTGGTCTGCCTGCTGTAGGCCAGCAAATACAGATCTGTAGGGGGTATGGGGAAGAACGCAGGTGTCGAAACTACACATCAGATGAGCATGGTCACGTCCTCTTCCAGATTCCCCCTCTCGCAACAAATTCATCATCCATCCAAATCCAGGTACAGTGGAGGAGATAATATAGGAGAGCTTTAATTAATAAACTTGGTCATCTGAAGACCACCCCCTGTCCTTTGAAGTAAAGTCACTCACTTATGATGGGAATTAATGGATAAAATCTGTAGAAGGGTGTACCAAAACAGAATGTGCATATTTGTGTGTGACTTTCTATGACAGCAGTTTGATTAGTATCTGAAACAGTTTAGTTTCTAGATCTATTCACAAGTCAGTTTCATACTTTCCAGGGTACCTTGCAAAGCTTGTTTGTTGTGCTGAGTGCTTTTGTTTTTGAATGTTTTTGTTGACTTTCTTTCTTCCCTCCCAAAAAATTAGCCAATAATCCTAGTCCCCCTATTCTGCCAGTGTTAGGTCATACTTGAGCACATTTCTCTAGGCCAGGATGTATGAGCACACCCCCTCCAGCTCAGCCTTCTTCATATCTGTCACATGAATCCTATCCTATCCATTGCCCAGCGATTCCCTTCCACCTTTGACCCTTGGTTCTTGTGCTTTATTGCTCTAGCATCTTTTCTGCTTCTAGTATTTTCTGTGAGGAATCTATGCCCTTGTTCTTTCCCATATCATTATGGAGGGTTGTGAGTATGGTTCTCATTGAATTTTGAAATCCTGTGTTTTATCTTAGGCTTCTTCCCCCTCACTGGAGGAAGATTTCCCAAAGAACCAACGCTGGGAGAAGCAGCTTCAGCAGGCAGTTGCCCATTACAATGTGATGGGTTGGTATTCACCTTCCAAAAGCTATCTGAAAGTAGTACCTCAAGACAACCATGGGCAGATGTTACTTGCTTGTGGAGGTTCACTAAACTTGGATGTACTGTATACTACTGAACCTGACACCAAGCAACACATCCATTACCAGGTGTGTCTGTCAATCTCTACACTGTTCATCAAATTGAAATTCTTCTGCTATGGTTTCATTCATTTTCATTTTGCTACACTTGTCAGTTTTCTTCTTTTGTCATATGTTGGCTATTGGACATTCAACAAACCAATGTACCATTTCACTCTATGATCAAAATTGCATCTTTTTTAATTGTGAAGCCATTTGCAAGTTGTTTTTTTTATGATAAACAAAGGTGATATCCAGAGGGAAGATTGTAAAATGGGACAGCATCCACCACGACTCCAAGGCAGAAAGCTTCCCTGAGAAGGTTGATGCATCCCTCCTCCTGTATAAGCCCATGGAGGATGTCCCCTTGCCCAGATACATCACAAAGGCAACTGTGAGCTTTGAGATCTTGCCCAACATGGCACCCAAGAGTCAGCTGGTTGTCTACTATGTGAGGCCGGATGGGGAGGTGGTGGCTGATTACCTTACTTTCCTGGTGGACCAGTGCCTTCCCAACAAGGTGACTTTTGTTAATGCAGTTATTTCATGGGTCACTGATAGTACCATGTAATAGATTTCTGTCACCTTGAACTCAAATTTCCAGACCCCAGTTTGATTGATGCATTGATACCTGATGCTTTCATACCAAAATGTTCATGCCTTCATACCTTTTCATGCCAAAATGCTTTCATACCAAGCAGCTGCTGGAATTCAGAACATGAAATAAGAATGGGAAACTATGCTTTGCTGATGTAATATTTTTCATTTGTGCTTTAATCATTGTGACAAGAAACAGTACCTACTGAAACCAGCTGATCAAAGTACTTCATGGCTCCTACATTTTTATTTATGACAACATGCTTTTGTTGGTACATTACCCAGCTAAATGGAATTTTCAGGATTTTGCCTTCATTGTTCCCTGATTGGGTCAAGAATGTCTCATGCCATTTTGCAGGTGGATCTGAAATGGACTGATCAGGAGGTTGGGCCTGGGTCCACAGTGGGGTTGAAGGTGAAGGCTGAGCCAGATTCCCTGTGTGGGCTGAGAGTAGTTGACAAAAGTGTTGAACTTCTCAGACCTGGAGAGCAACTCAATGTTCAAAAAGTCTTCCAGGCCCTTGAGCCTTTCCAAATCACAGAATACCAACCACCTGTGCAGAGCAACCGGATTGAATATTGCCTGGATAAAAATGGTGACCATTTTAATGACTATTGTTTCAAGGACCTCTGCCTCCTTATTTTGAAGTGCTTCTTGGGGAGTTTCTTTCTGAAATGAGACTGAAAGAAAGAAGCCAGTTTTGCAACCACTTTTCTGGCCAAATACTTGAACCATCCATTGATAAAAATGGATATGTGGAACAAGTCTGGTAATTTTGCAGGGTTGGGTGCCTTGGACCAATTTTTAACTCTTTCTCAATGCATAGAGTTGATGTTGCTTTTTATTGAAAAAGGTAACACAATAGTTTCTTTAAATGCTACTGGGAGAGAAGTATCCTGCTCCATGTTTAAGTGCTTGGGGGGTGGTTGTTCTTGCATAAAATAATAAGAGGGGAACCCCACCTGGTTTCTTTCATCACTGTATGCCAAAGGGGAGGTAGAAAATGGGCATATGTCCAATGAAAGACTGTTTTTGAGGAGTTTCTTCTAATAACTACTGTGGTGGCATTGTTGTGAAGGCAATTGTCACTTCACATGTGCATCTCGATTTAAGCAGCTGGTTAGCATATTTCTTATTCACAGTCAATTGCATTGGAGGCTGAGCCTATGGGGCCAAATAGGATATATAAAGGTATTGGATATGCTGGCTTTTTGTTTTGAATTTTAGTTAAATGCATCACTATCCCAATCCCTTTTACCATAAGTACATTACTTCAGTCAGTGGGATGATTGGGCTTCTACTTACCTACATGCTGAATTCACACTGGATGCTCTTGCAGATGATAACCCCAGTTTTCCAGTTCCGATGCCAGCTGTTCCTGATCTAGGAGCCCCTGTGCAACAGCAGGAATTGGCTGAGAGGAAAAAGAGGTCATTCTTTGGTCGTCCCATCTACCATGCGTCTCATGCTGATGCCATCCTCGCCTTTGATGTGTGCCTTTTCCCCATCATTGGTGCCTTTTAGGATGTGTTCTGGAGACTGGAAATGGTGAGCCTTGTTTTCTTTTCTCTAGAAAGCAGGGCTGTTGGTCCTCTCGGATCTGACCCTGGAGACGCGTCCGTGCCTGCCCACCGATATCATTCACACTCGCAGTGAGTGTTGCTCTCTGTCATTAGGACTGAGATATATTTGATCCATTAGAAATTGCTGATACATTCAATTTCATTACTCCTAGTAGCAGATGCAGTCATTGGTTTCTGATTCCAATTTTAAAATGCATGTTGCGAATTTTTGGCGACTGTCTTGTTCAGGAAAATTTTAAAATGTACATTAAAATGGAGTTTTTGTTTTGATTTTTCATAGGTTTTTTGTCTCTGGGTCGTTCCAAGAGTGCACGTCGGTTCAAGTCTGAGTCAGGTCTCATGCAACTTCATCATGACTTGCATGAGATTTTGATGGCTCTTATAACTTATTCAGCACCTTCAATACTTAGTAGCATTTGAAAGCTGGTAGACCTACAATGAAAGTTTGCTCTTTGTTTCTCCATTGCATGTAGGCTTTGTTTTTGGTTCCCAATTCACATGGATGTGAGTAATTTTTTATTTGGGTGTTGAGTGTCTCCGATATTACTTTAGCTCATGCTTGTTGTGTTTCCATTCCAACATTTCTATGGAGTGGTACTTGTATATGCCCTAAGTACCAGCTGTTCTTTGACACTTATACCAAACTGACCTGCTGTTGGTAATGATTAGAGCATACGAGTGTGGAATTGACTCTGGAACTGAGCTAAGCATTTCCAATGTTACGAAGAGAAACCCTTGAAAGATTTTGCAAGTTAATTGATTTTCACATGAAGTGAGGTTGACTTTTTAGATTTCCTGACATCTGGCTTATTTTTGGAGTTTGTGAGCACAGCTATGGTCAAAGAACATACCACATGATTTATTGAGGTATTAACAAAAAGCGTCTGTTATATTCCAACCCAGAATATAATTTCCCGCATTTTTACGATGCAGTTGGAAGTGGAGAAACTACTTTAGTATCACAAATTCCTAAAATACATCATTTAGAACTTAAAGTCACATAGCTAGTGGTCTTGTGTAAGGAAAAACATGGGGAAGTTGGGGATGGTCTAGCAGGACTCCTTAGTTAGGCCAAAGTGGAATAATGAAGCAGGAATTTTATTGTATTATTGATCCAATTATTACTTATTTGTAAGCATTATTTTGACATTTTTTCTTTTCTTTTTCTGGGGAAAGCCTTGGCACTGTGCTGTAAAAACTTGGCAGATGTGTGCCATCTGTGCTTCTCTGATCAGGCCAAAGTCATGGATGCATTTATAGGCAGTGGTGTTGCATTATCCATTTTACTTTGCATCCCAAATGAGATATTGCCTTTTGTGAGAGAAAGACAGAGCTTCTGGTCAAATCAGTGTGCTGTGTTGTTATCTAACTGATACTTGGACGTTTCCTGTAGAACGAGTTTTTGTGGCATGAGGTGCATGCAATTTTTTTATTCACTTCAGGTCACATGTTCCTTCCTGGACTTCCAGGAATAGTTGGGCAACCCGAACAAGCCTACTTCATGTTGGACTCGGTGGCCTTGCCATATCAGAGTGAATCCTTCGAACTGAACTCACCTGAGCCTGTTCTACGAGAGTATTTTCCTGAAACCTGGCTTTGGTCCCTGGAGACAGTGGGAAAATCTGGTCAGTTATTGACAGAGATGGTGTAAAAAAAAAAATATAAAAAAGTTAAGTTCCATTTGCCTTTTTGCATTTAGGGGAATTGGAGTTGAAGAGTCTAGAGGTGCCTGACACCATCACAGAGTGGGTGGGGTCAATGGTGTGCAGCTCCAGACTGGGTGGGTTGGGGTTGTCCCCTCCTCAACGTATAACAGCCTTCCAGCCTTTCTTTGTTGACCTCACTCTCCCCTATTCCATCAAGAGGGGTGAGATCCTTCCCCTCCCTGTCTCCATCTTCAACTATAAGGAGCATTCTCTGCCTGTAAGCGTCTCTCCTGTTTTCATAACCACTGAATATACAATAATCACCATTCCTCTATCTTTCTTCCTCTTCCTTTCAAGATCCACGTGGAGCTGAAGGAGTCTGAGTCCTTCAAGTTAGAAGGTGAAAAGGAGAAAACCCTATGCCTTGATGAGCAAGGGAAGGAGGTTGTGACTTTTGACCTTACCTTTCTGGATCTTGGAGAGGTCAACATTACCATTGTTGCAAGAATTGACCCCAACTACCCTGTTGCTTGTGGGCCAGATGTTGTTCTTGCTGTCAGGTCTGTCCATTTCCTCTTTTCGTTGCTGGGTGATTATTTAAACAGTTTGCTGAAGCATTCCAATGGAATGACTGCACCCTGCTGTGTCTAGTGATGCTATTGTGAAGCCAGTTCGTGTTGAGCCAGAAGGGTTCCCTGTAGATGTTACCAAGAATTGGTTCCTTTGTGCTGATGGTGAGAACTTTCTTATAGCTGTATATCTTTCCTGGATTCAGATATTAGAATATTTTCTTACTAGAATTAGTTGAGACTGGCTAGTTCTCTGCCAATCGTGTTATGGCAAATTGACTATGGTGAATGCAAAATGGAACCTCAGAATTTCTAAATGTTGGGGCTGGACTGCAAAGCAATATTTACTTCAAAGTCCCCTTTAACTTCTTGCTTGCTTGTATGTGAATTAATTTATTTTTGCATTTATTGAGGAGATCAACTCTACTACATCTTTGCCAAAGATTGCTTCAAAGTATTCTGGAGTTGTATGTCCTATTGTCTCCATCATGTGGTGCTTTGAGAAGGAATGCTCACCTCTCTCTTCTTTCATGCATGCATATTGGCCTAGATTTTGGTGAAGAGGATGAGGTGACTCTGTCTCACTCATTGAGCCTTCCCAAGGATGTGGTACCTGATTCGGCACGTGCCTGGGTCACTGCCTCTGGGGACTTACTAGGGCCCTCTCTTCAGGTGCACATATGTCCCTTTCCTGACTTTTATATGTTTTCCTTACTATCTTTTCTCAGTTTGCTTTACCTCTTCCTTCTTTCCTTTCTTCTGTCATATTTTATGTACTTTCTGCATTTCCAGTTTTCCTTTTCTATCTATCCTTCCTTCCCTCATCAAATGATTGCTATTATGACTGTAATGAGTACCCCCCTTAGATAGTTCTGAGATTCTCCCACCTACATGTTCTGCTTCTGGTACCAATTTTGCCACCCATCACTGGAATTTGCCAATATTAACTCTAAAAATGTATGTAAAACATATTTAAGGTTATGCATGTTTCATGTATTATTCTGTGGAGAGCCTCAATAATTTATCTACAGTATCAATAACATCTGTTAAATATGAAGTGCTTGAGACTCAAGGAAGAACTTTTGAGTAAAGATTCTGCAGTAAATTGTGCTACAGGAAATCTGAAGCTGTGCTATTAATGAGATTTGAGAACAACCTCCCTCTTAGTAATTGTGAGATGTACAAAATCCTTGTTTACACTCATACATTCATACTTTCCTGTATTGTTGAAATTTCTCTTTCAACCTCATTTGTTATTGCACAATGTATGTATCATTATACTAAAAAATAAATAATACATTGTTGGGATTCTTAATTACTAAGAATTCAATTTTCATATAGGAAATCAGAGTTTCACATTTTTTCTCCTGTTTGCAAATTCCATAGGGTGTACCCATCAAGAGTTGGTAACATGATGTGCAACCCAAGTAGTGGAACACTGTGCATGTATCTCAGAACTGCCCAATGGAATATCTCACCTACTTTTATCCAATATGAATGATCATGAATGTGCAGGGATTGAAGAAGCTGGTGCGGGTGCCAACTGGATGCGGCGAGCAGAACATGATAACTCTTGCTCCCAACATCTTTGTGCTACAATATCTGGAATCCACTGGACAGCTCAAGGCAGAACTTAAAACTGAACTCGTTCAAAACATGGAGACAGGTGGCTTTTTCAAGTGACTTCCAAGCCATCTGCTTTGTCCCTTAGAATCCTTTGATGTATTTTTGTTGGTTCCCTTTTTTTTTAGGATATCAGAGGGAGTTGAAGTACAAGCATAGGGATGGATCTTTCAGTGCATTTGGAGAGAGTGATGGGGACGGTTCCATGTGGTTGACAGCCTTTGTAGTGAAATGCTTTGGACAGTCTCTTCCTTTCATCACTGTTGATCGGGATCAGTGGCGTGAAAGTGTCCGCTGGATCACTCGGCAGCAGCTCGAAAATGGGTGCTTCCCATCTATCGGACGAGTCATCCATAATGACCTTCAGGTGAGGTCCTTGTAGTGATTTTCTGCCATATATATGTAATGGCCATTTTAATTTTGGTTTCCAATTAAGGGTGGACTGGAGGGAGAAGACTCGGGAACCACCACTGCCCTGTCGGCTTTTGTGCTCGTATCCCTCATGGAGTCTGGGGTGACACTGGCCCCCTCATTCAAGGAGAATGCAGTCTTCTGCCTCAAGGCCAACACAAACCCTTCCACATATGCTCTGGCAGTTTCCACCTATGCCTTCCTCCTGGCTGGGGAGAAGGACCTGGGTGCAGCATCCATGGATAGGCTCCTTCAGAGGGCTAAGGAAAAGGATGGCCTTCTCTGGTGGGAAGCATCAAGTAAAGGTGAATACTTCTGTCATAACTCAAGTTAATAATGGAATTTCACAAAAATGTAACTCTTTTTAAAAGCAATTCACAACTTTTCCAGGTGCATCAGATGCAGTGGACATAGAGACTACAGCATATGGAATCTTGTCACTGGTAACGCTGAATCGTGTTGGGGACTCAGCCCGAGCTCTCTCCGCAGTCCGATGGATTGCCTCCAAAAGGAACTCCAATGGAGGTTTCACCTCAACACAGGTCCATCCAGGCCCCATTTTTCTGTTCATCTTCTTAGAATGAGAGAATAGGCCCATTTTTTCTGTCGCACCACTGAGTTGTTGGGTCATTTCATAAAACTTGGTTGTCATTCAGTCAAATTAGGTAGCCAACTCAAATGCTTAACCTCAGCCAGTAATGCCCTTGACCATTCTAAAGATGAGGGAGATTTTGAGATTGAATAGTAGGTCTCGAGTTGTCTTTCGATTGATGAGAGGCTGTAAACCCTTAATGGTGACAGTAAGAAAAGCAAATATGAAAATTCTTCTGCCTTTTTTAAATGCAGGAACCTTATATTTAGACATCTATGTTGGACAGTCCACAAGGACTTTATGTTATGAAAAATTGCTGCTTTGTCAGTTAAATGTGTGAACCTTTCTTTAAATATTCCCCTTTGGCACCTTAAGTTGCCTGCTGATGACCATAATTAGTTTATCAGTCACTCACTGCTTTGGGTGTCATATTGCAGGACACAGTGATGGCACTGCAAGCACTGGCTCGTTATTCAGCTCATGTGGGATTGGGGACAGTGAACATGGACGTTCTCCTCTCTAATTCATCTGGGTGGGAACATGCCTTCTCCCTCTCCAACAGTAATCGTCTCGTCCAGCAGATGATCTCTATCCCAACTCTTCCCTCCGAGATCACAATAAACGCAGCTGGGGATGGATGTGCACTTGTGCAGGTCTGCTTGTTTCACCTTTCTATGCCATTTGTGAATTAGCTCTGTTGACCATGGAGTCGATTGCAGGCTGTCCTGAGGTACTCAGTCTTCAATGAACCACAAAAAGAAGGAATGAAGTTGAGTGTCGAGGGGAAGAAGGGACGGAAAACTTGCAGGGAACATGCCGTTCAGGCCTGTCTTCAATACTCTGGAAGCTCCAATACTTCTAATATGGCTCTCCTTCAAGTTGCCATGGTCTCAGGCAAGTCCTCTTGACTGTATTAGCTTAATGTTCCATGGCAACTTCATCAGGTAAAGCATTATCCTGTATTTTATGCAGGCTGGATGCCAGATCAGCAAAAATTCAAGGCATGGGATGTTCATGGGAATGGTGAGTGATATGATTCAGAGAAGCCATGAAAGTAAGCCCAATCCTGTATGCATGTATTAATTTGTGACCAATGATGTGTCAGTGGTGAAGCGCTGGGAGGTGGCTGAGGAGACTGGAGAGTTGAGCATCTACTTAGACTATTTGGACCAGGATGGTATCTGCCTTGCAATTCCTTTGGCCCAGAAGCTGCCAGTGAAAAATCCCAAGCCTGCCCTCATCAAGCTCCATGATTACTATGCCCCAGAGATACAGGACACACAGGTATCTAACTTATGGCCATATTCATCTCACTTAGAAAAATTATTCTGATGCTATCCTAATATTATTCTCACAGTTTGAAGTTATTTCCGTTTTTTTGTGAATTCCAACAAGCTCTGGCATAGTACTGTATTTGCTTATGTATGAGGTGCTTTTCTTTTAAATGTTATTTCCTGAGGTAGATGAGGGGGTGCATCTTTTACTCAAGAAAATTAAATCCTTCTCCAAAATATTTAAGAAAAGTACTTGCTTCAGATAGTCATTTATAATTACAGAAGCAATAAGTGTGATCAGTAGGAATTATTGGAACAGCAGAAACATTGGAAATGGAATGACAACATTAATTCAGTTGAGTTTGGAAGATTCACATTAGGTACCATCAGAATCAGGACAAACTGTATCATAGGTTTTACATGGCAACAGCCAGTAACCACATGACTCACTGTTTCACATATTCTGTCGCTTCCTTCATGATTTTGAGAAATGATCCTTTTTCTCTTTTAAAAGGCTTTGAGGTTCTTCCATGCGTTATTCAATTTTGTCTCCTCCTTTATTTACTTCAGTTTGTAAAAAGCTTCGCAAAGAGAAGTTGCAAGTGTAAGTGTATCCTGGAAGAATAGAAAGGTGTGAATTTTCATGTGTGGAATCAAGCATTGGTATTGGTAGTCAGAGTACCGTATGTCATCAGGGAAGAGATATTCCAATATTCCACTTGTTTACTCTTTCTTAATCCTTTACTGAAAGCTATTAGATTGAACCCAGATTTAGCTGATTCATCTCTCCCTGCACTGACTATATTAGCTATTATGAAGTTGGCTGCTATGTCAAGGAATTCATTTTTTATTTCATTAAAGATGTAATTTTTATTATAATTTCCCAAATGGCTTGGATTAACTTTTATTTTGATCAGACCATTCCAGGAGCCATATATGGGTTCCATATTTACACGATCAATTTAATGAACGTTTTGTGAAATTAGTTCCAGAGGAAGAGGAGATACAGGGTGCGTCAGCTATTTGAGAACAAAATTTGACTTTGAGGAAAACAAAAATATTCAGTAGAAAAACCAATATATTTTCATAGAATTTGGTACACATGTTCTTACATACACATAACAAAAGGCTATTCAATAAAACCGCCTTCAACCTCGATTACAGCCTTCTGAAACGACTACATGCATTGATCAGGTGATCCTTATTTATGTTTGCCATAATGTCCCCGATGGCAGCCTTCAACGAGTCCTTGGTATTATGGGCATGCTTGTTGGTCTCCCTCTCAACGACGCCCCAGACGTAGTAGTCCAGGGGGTTTAAATCAGGAGAGCTAGGAGGCCAAATGTTAGGGGTAACATGATCGTGAAAATTTTCGGCCAGCCACTCCTGGGTCGTGCTGGCTGTGTGAGAGGGAGCAGAGTCTTGCTGGAACACGTACGGCCTCCCCCGAGCCGAGACGCTGTCAAGCCCTGGATTGAGGGAGTGGCTCGGGGGAGGACTTACGTGTTCCAGCAAGACTCTGCTCCCTCTCACACAGCCAGCACGACCCAGGAGTGGCTGGCCGAAAATTTTCACGATCATGTTACCCCTAACATTTGGCCTCCTAGCTCTCCTGATTTAAACCCCCTGGACTACTACGTCTGGGGCGTCGTTGAGAGGGAGACCAACAAGCATGCCCATAATACCAAGGACTCGTTGAAGGCTGCCATCGGGGACATTATGGCAAACATAAATAAGGATCACCTGATCAACGCATGTAGTCGTTTCAGAAGCCGCATCGAGGCCGTAATCGAGGTTGAAGGCGGTTTTATTGAATAGCCTTTTGTTATGTGTATGTAAGAACATGTGTACCAAATTCTATGAAAATATATTGGTTTTTCTACTGAATATTTTTGTTTTCCTCAAAGTCAAATTTTGTTCTCAAATAGCTGACGCACCCTGTATATTGGTTAAATGTCATTGGTGCGACTAAAGATTCACATCTCTGGCAGTATTTTGTGGCACTAAATTTCCTCTCTTGCATCCTTGGATTGCACTTACCTCAGATGGATTCAAGTCCACCATAGTCAAAGAATGAGAGAAAGGTTTGTAATTTGATATGGATAGGGTGTATTGAGTTTTTCCTTACTCCTTCAGAATTTTAAGTTCTGCATGTATTTGCGTTGTTCCAGGAAATTCCTGGCTCTGATTCTGTAGATTTATTGTTATTTTGTTTCTCCCTAACACAACTGTCAGTGACATCCTGTCATGTCATGGGATGAACTTGATTTGTGGTGCTCTCGAGGAAAATTGCCTGATGAATTTATCATTGGCTCTATGGAAACTTTTCCCTTTCAGTTGTACAGCATTGAGGAGTGCGTGGAGAAATCAGAATCTCACCAGCTGGGGTTGGATGAGGGGACGATTCCCAAACTGGCATTTTCACCTGAAGACTGCAGTCAGGGCGAGACCTTTGATCCTGACATGGGACGATGTCGTGGTTAGAAGCTCAGTCCTCTAACCCTTTTCCTTACGTATTCTCCTTTCCCCATTGTGCCATATCCAGCATGTGTCTTTTCGCTGGTGGCAAACCATGAGTTTCCATGCCAGCCTCATTGTGATTCTATCATCTCACATTCACCTTCATTTCTTCCTTTCTTTCCGTACACCCAGTCATGTGCCTCACAGTCTTCATTGTGCCTGATTGTGATCTTTATAAGCAATAGACAATATATTTGGTATTGGTTTATTATGTTGTTTTTTGTTTTTCTTTTTTTTGTTGCTTTCTTTGATGTATTCTCTTGCTTCATCTGAGTTCTTTTGCACCTTTAATCCACACCAGAATGGAATGTTAAATCATATTAGCGATGTTTTTCCCAGATCCAAGTCAGAATTTTAGTTTAAGAATGGATCCATGACTAACCTGAAACACTAGAGAGCCTACTGGCAAATGTATCCAAATGGTAGTAGCCCTGCCTCAAGTGCTAAGGACAGTTTTCTCAAAACAAAACAGATGCACGAAGGTATATTCAGCTTTTACAGGTGAAATACAAGACAAGCTGAGAACATTTAGAGGGAAAATCTCATCCCCTAATACTGCTGAAAGACGTGCAGAAATTAATACATGAAATATCCCAGTAGACATTCATGTATGCCCATAACGTTTCAATAAAACACGCGCGTGTTTTATTGAGCCCCTCCCATGACCACTAGGATGGACGGTTCTGATGGGAACTAGGAGCCTTTCGGTGTCTCTCTAGATGCAAAGAAGCAGAAGGAGGAAGAAAGGATCTTCTCGCCTGGAGAACTGGAAGAATTCAAGCCCGATGTCCTGGCGTTGCCCTGGGCAGAACGCCACGACCACTCGAATTTCCACGACGTCGACCACGACCACTCGAATTTCCACGACGTCGACCACGACCTCGAATTCCCATCCGGCCTGGAGACCCAGCCCACGATCAGAGGCAAGTCCCTTCTGCATTTCTAACCTCGAAGTGATTCCATCTGAGAGGCCCCTTTGGAACTTCAGTGCCAGCGTGTCCATCATGCGAGACCCTGAACCGTGTGGAAGAAATGGACGACAGATTCTGTTCTGCGGGAAAGGTCTACCGAGCATCTCAGCGGTCAAAAGGCGTCCTCAAGTTGACTGCCGAGGTGGGGAGAGTCTTTTTCGGATCGTCGAAGAAGCGGATCGGTCAGGTCATCTCCGTACAAGTACCAAAGCACTGCGAGTGCCCATCCTTCAGGACAGGTACTGGATGTGTCCTCTTTTGTATCATCTAATTTTGGGGTTCCTAAGTCCTCTTTGAGTTGATGGAGGAGTAATTAGTTCTGAAATTACTTCAGATTCGCTCGGTGTCAGAGGGAGATCCCATAATTGCATGATTCACTTCGAATTCCTTTAAAATCTACAAGCAACAAAATGTTGTTGATTCATATCATTTGTTCAGATTGAAAAGCGAATCCCAGTGGGAAGTGGGCAAATACGAAGAGCAAATCAGAATATTTCCGGCCTCTAAATTTCCGTATACCGATCTGGGTGGAAGAGGCCACTGGGTCCTCTGGTCCGCTCTGGTCCACTGGGTCCACTGGGTCCTCCCAATTGCAAGCAGAAACTTGCATGTCATGCTGACGCAGAACTTGGATTGCAGAAGACGTATGATTTGCTAAGAGTTGTTGCACGATTACATTTGTCTGACTCGTGATGTTGAGTTTTAGTTTTAGCGTGTATGCCCGAGTGTGATGCGAAAGTTAAGTCTCTTCCAAATCTAAAACGCCAAAAAATTGAGGCTTTTCACGAGCTTTCTCGAGACGAAACGTGCCATAACGTCCCCCTCGGTCGCTCCATCGACAGGGACGAACCTGCTGCTGCTGCTGGAGAGCGAGGAGCCTCTGACCGGGAAGGACTCCGTGGAGCTGGGCGGCGGGGACGCTCTGTACGGGATGAAGGGCAATCTCAAGGACTTCATCACGGAGGCGCGACGACGCTGCTCTTAGGGATGCCGGATGCCCTGTTCGTGATGCCGGATGCCCTACTCGTGATGCCGGATGCCCTGTTCCTCTAGTCATCCCCGATGCCTCGTGTCGTGACCGAGCTTTTTGGGTTCAAGTCCCCGAGGCCGGTCACGCGACTCGAGTTTGGTGCTGCGTTTTTATGCTCTGCTTCTTTCTGTCATGTGAGACTAGATTAGCGCGGGATTTCATTCTTCAACAGAGATTTTCTGGTTCGGGAAGTTTTCTTTCATTGAGCACGGTGGGCATCAGGTCGCGGCTCGTCTGAAAGGAAGTTTTGAGGGCAGTCGCGACTTGTTGGGTGGGGAACCCTCATCGTCGGGGATCTGTACGGTCATTCGATATGTATGATGATTGTCTGTAAAATGGGACAATGGGGATTTCGAGAAGAGAGAAATCTTGGAACAGAATCCCACGATGAACGGGGAAGAAAAATTGGACCTCGCGTGCACGGTCGTCAACCCAAGCGAGATGATTTTTCGATGCGAACCGAAAGTAGGACAAAATAATTAGTCGAAAGAGCGGTGAATCCCGATTGCGCGGGCGCTCGAGATTTTCCCCCGAAAAAGATAAAAAGAGAATTTGATGCGAAAACGGATGCTTTGCAAGGCTAATGAACCTTTGGGCTCATGAGCCTTTTGAAAGCGACGATGAATTTCCATCGTTCCGCCGAGCCAAGTCGGACCTCATGGCGAAACACCGAGAAAAAAAACTGCTGTGGAATTTTTAGTCTGGAAACAATGAGACCATCGCGGATGAATACAAGATTTTCTAAGCGTTTATGCACCGATTGCGGTGCCTTCCGGTTTAGCGACATTCTGTGTTTTTATATCTCTTTCGTTGCAATCTCCCGTGCAACGGAAAACAGACGACTGGAGGCATCAGCTGTGTTCGTACGGGCTTCGTGTCTCAACCCAGCTGATAATCGTGGTCTGCGCACCAGAGCGCACGGAGTACATAAACGCGTTCTGCCCGAGAGATAGCATCCCTCGTGCAAGAGGGCAGTGCGCGACAACAGGAGGGGGGGAGAGAGGGAGGAGGGAGGGAGAGAGGGAGGAGGGAGGGAGAGAGGGAGGGGGGAGGAAGGAGGGGGAGCAGAAGTAAAAGTGGTAGAGGGAGAGTGGACGGATGACGTAAGCGTGGGAAGAGGAGGTCCTTGACCAGTTCCTCTTCTGTTCTCACGTGGCTGCGGTCAAGGCCAGCCTCTCTGGGAACGAAGGAGCGAAGGACTCCAAAGTGAAGCGTTCGGGCAATGCCGAGTCCATGTCGACAAAAAAAAAGAGAGAAGTTTGAGACGAGCGGAGGAACGATGAGGATGTGAGCGAGGGATGCCTTCGTTGATGAGGATGTGAGTGAACGAGCCCTACTTGCCGCCGCTTAACAAGAAGAAAGGAAAGAAAAAAAAAAAACAAGTACCCCATTTTCTCAGTCCTTTAAGAACCGCTGAGAAATCTGGCCTCCCTTCTCTCTCAAAGCTGGGGGAAAAAAAAATGTATTCCGATCCAGGAAATGAAGAAACAGGCCACGAACAAGCCCCACATCCTCACGATGAAACAATCATGCCAAAATGCTCATAATCGCCTCGCTCCCTCACGCCAGGATGCTGCGTTCCCCCCGCATCCGACGCCATCTCTCGAGCCCCATCTCAGACGAGTCCAAATCAAGCGAAATCAATCAGATATTTGCATATTGACCCTGTTTCATGGAACGCGAGCCTTTCGTCTTCGTCGTTACCCGATGCGTGGCGAAAGATCCGCCTCTCCAGATGAGAGGTTCACAGATCCACCTGTTGGGGTCCCAGCGAATGCACGGATCCACCTGTTGAGGTCCCAGCGAATGCACGGATCCACCTGTCGAGGTCTCGAACGAGAGCATCACGCAATCCGCTTTCATCGTTGTCGTCGAACCTCCTTTTGTTGTGACTGAGTCGCGTCCCTCATTTTTGCCAATCGACAGGGTCGACAGGGGTCGGCAGGGACAACATCCTCCGGAATTCAGAGTCGTCCAATTGAAAGTACTTGCAGTACTAGTTGGATTGAGAGTAATTTGCGAGACGGCAGGAAGCGAAAATTTCACTGCCTCCTTCACGTGATTGCCCTCACGCGGTTGCCCTCGAGTGATTGCCCTCACGCGGTTGCCCTCGAGTGATTGCCCTCACATCCCTCGTCCCGACTTCGTCCTTGCCATCCTCCAGAAAGTCCTGAAAGTACTTCGTAAGAGCAAGCAGCAAAAATCACTTGGAAAAGTTGGACATAAGAAGTCCAATTTGGTACTTCAAAGTACAATCCACTCGGTACTTTAAAGTACTTGCATTACGAAATGAGCATTTGAGACCCCGAAAGACTTACGCGTCCAACGGCCCCTCGTTCGTTCAAATTGGCCATATTTGACCATTTTTGGCCACATTTGACCATTGGCCAGATGGGATTTCGACCTTCCAAGAAAATCCTTCATGGGCGTGATCCCATCTGATAAGTACGACAGGATTGGGATCCTTGAGGTCCTTGAGGTCCTTGAAGTCCTTGAAATCCTTTTAAAGTCTCGCAAGAAGTGGATGGACAAGTAATGCGCAAGTAGCGAGATAATGAGATAACTAACAGGTAAGGAGATAATTGCCCTCAAAGCAATCGACGAATGAGGGCAATTTCAATCGATGAATAAATTGACATTTTCGACGTGATGGAATGAATAATGAAATTAATAATGAATAATGAAGTTAATGAATAACGAAGTTAATGAATAATGAAATTAACAATGAATAATGAAGTTAATGAATAATGAAATTAATAATGAATAATGTGGTGAATGGAATACAATTTAAAAAAAAAAGGGGGGAAAAGGAGCAAAAAAAGAATAAATAAAAATATGAATAAGAAAACAATGGGAGTTGGGCTGGTTTGGCCTGGACTCGCAGGTTTTCCGCATTTTTTCTCGTCCGATTTTCAAAATTCCAAGAAAAAAAAAAACAAGATCCGGGACGATCTCCTCCGTCTTTCCTGGATTGCTTGAGTCGTCGAGGATCTTTAAATCGAGGGAAGAGGGAAGGGAGAGGGCGAAGTCTTTGCCTGGAATGGTTTGTTTGTGCGTTGTTGATTGGCTGAATACGGATGTTGGGTGGGGAAGAAGGGAAGCCTGGGGGGCTGGCTCGTCCTAATTCCTGGGAGTCACCTTCGAGAATGTCTTCGTTTATGAGGGGAATGAGAATGCGTATTCATCGATGGCGTCTCGGGTATCTTGGAGATGTGCCACTTCGGAGTACGCCGTGGGTACTGCGGAGTCCCCGCATGGCAACAGGCGACGGGCCGGGATCGAGATGGAAATCGATTTTTGAAAGGGGAGATCGCCGGATGAGAGAGCCAGGCCCTCGGGGGTTGTCGTCCTTGTTCCATATGGGAATGGCGACCTCAGGGGAACACGTGCGATGCATGCCTTCCTGTTGCGTCATTGACCTTCGCGAGCAGACGACGCGAGGGGGGAGCTCGCTTCCCATTGGCGGAGAGCCTCGTGACCTCACGGTTTGTTGTCTCCGTCGTCACCCCAAGCAACGCAGAGCGCGATGCGATAACAGAAAGGCCTGAGAAGTGGAGGCAGTCGGGTCACTCTCCGCGAACTACATACTCCTTATCGGGCCTCTCTTCCCGGAGTACGTGACGGTAGTCTTGTTATCGTGTTACCTCCCACTTCGCCCTACTTGTGTTTTACAGTTAGGCTCTTCCGCCTAGCCTGGACGCCATGGGAAGTAGCTTGGACCTGATGCAAACTGGACTCCAGATAATTTGGCCGCTCAGGCCTGGTACGTCGAAGGTGGATTGGTGCGAGGACAATTACACCTTTTCTCCCATTGTCGCCGAGTTGGTCAACACTGTGAGTTTCTTCCTGTTTCAGGCCTTGTAGGCCTAACTAGACCATGACTCAAAAGAAGAGGAATCTCTTTTTGATTCCAACTTGTCTTGCCCCCCCAGGGCTGGGCGTTGCCCGGCCATATCCGTGTCTGATCGCTTCCTTGAGCTGCATAAATGGAGCGAAGACCTTGATTTCTAAGGACCAAATCAATATATATGATCTTATCTGATTTTGACCTTGAAAAGTAACAGGTGTGAACCAGCAGGATATGCCATAATGAAAATTTTCTGAGGTTCATTTTCCATTTCAAAGAGTCAAAATGTGTAAGGTCTTCTAGCTAGAGTGACTCACTGTGTCTGCTTTTGCAGGATATTTTCTCGAGTGCTAGCAAATGGTTTTACCTTTTTTCAACCTGCCTCTTGGCCAAGTTGGCTCAGCCCCAACACAAGGGACGAGCCAGAAGCCACTTAACTCGTAACGTCACCTCAGCTGAGAAGAGTGCTCAACCTCTAAGTTGTAGCCAAGCTGGCTTTCTGAAGTGAAAACAGATGTCTAAGGTTAGGTGTAAAAGTCATAAAAGAGGTTGCATATTCCAGAGTGATGGCTTTCATCATGTTACAAGTGCCAAGTATATATTTTTCAGCAATTTCGACCTAGATATACTAATTAAAGTTCAGGATTTCACATAAGTCATATATTCAGAGCAAATAGCTCACTCAAAGCCCTAGCACTGTGCTGTGGATTGAGCCCTTAATGGGTGATTTCAATACAGATGTCCTCAAACCAAGGAGGAATTTCCCCACTTTCCAATGAGACAACTTAAATTAGTTAAAGTGCTTGATACCTATTTCCCATCCTGACACGATGTAAGATGTAAGAAGACAGTCCTTTGTCATTGAAGAACATCATGGTTGGTTAAAGACCATGATGTTCTTCAATGACAAAGGACTGTCTTGTTCCGTGCAGATAGGCCAAAAAGATTGCTGAAAATCTTCCCACAAGGCAATGGAAGCATATTCCTCCACCTCAAAAGGCCTGCCTCTGTTCAGTGGGCTGCCAGAAGCTCAATCACATTAAGAATCATGTCATACATCCTAGTTTCAGGTTGGGTGAGCTTACTGAAGTCTGTGGAGGTTTTTTTGCATTTCATCCCAGATCAGTCGGATTGACCTGCTGGACTTTGCCTAGCATGAAGCTATTCATGACAAAAATGATGTAACAAAATAGTTGCATGCAGTTGTGATTGGCAATGGCTTGCATGAGATTGTTGCCAATTTGAATTTCTATGAATATCATCACTTTTGAGGAAATTCTGATTAAATCCTTTTTGCATATTTTAACCTCTAACAAGAAAATACCTTGTTAGCAGAATAGGATCTAAGTTGGCACCGTGTTTGATTTCCTTTTCACCACTGTTATTGAAGAAGAAAAGCTGTTATTGGCAGGGTTGAAATTCTAGGCCTAGGCCTTACATGTAGAACATACAAATATGGCTTTAGAATTGGCAAATCATGAACTACAAGTCTGAAGAAACTCTCTTGTGCTTGGGTCTGTTCATGTAGACACTATGAGTTGAAGGATGTGAAAAGAACTGCATGGATTATGAATTGTCATTGTTCTATCATGATCTGACCATTGCCTATGCAATGGTTGTTTTTCAATGGGAAACCTTGGAAGTCCTTCTCTGGACTGGCTCATATTTGAGTGCACCTTGCCTTGAATAGACATGCAAATCCTTCATCCCTTGCAAAGATGAGTTTTAAGTCTGACCTGGTTTTTCAAGAGAAATTGGAGCCACGTGCTGTTTCTCGGAGAAATCATGTGACAGCTATCAAGATTGATATTTTACAATAATTTTCAGGTTTTGTTGGTATCATTATTGCTTGGGTTGGTTGCAAAGGATATTGCTTGTTGCCCACAGGTGAGCAATCTGCTATTCTTGTTGCTTCCTCCCTTGTTGATATTCCTCTTTCAACCGTATGGAAAACTGATCCAAAAAGAGATTCACATCATCTGGATCCTCCTCTTCGTGATCGGAGCTGCTTCTGCCTACTTCCACGCCACGCTCTCGCTGGTAGGTCGATTGCTTCTTGAAGGTCAGGTAAAGGACACCTCAACGGGCCACAGATCTCATGAGTTGTTCATTTTCCTCCCCGGTCAACAGCTTGGGCAACTCTTGGATGAGTTGTCGATCCTCTGGGCGGCCATCATTGGGACAACCATCTGGTTCCCCTCCCGTCTCTTGCCGAACAAATTATTGCTGGAAAACCGGTGAGTCACCATGAGATGCTGTTCTTCTATGACTCACTTGTCAATTATTTGTGAAGTATTCTGTGAAAGGAGCACATTTTTCCTGTTTCTCTCTTATTCTTGTAACAATTAATTTAATTGTGCTGTTGGTGAAATAAAAATTTATTTTGTTAAAGATTGCATTTTGTTTGTGTGGAGAAAAGGAAGCATAGTTTCAGCTGGTCCATATTTTTCATTTTTACTGATGTCCATTTTTTTTTACTCCCTCAGAAATCCATATAATGTGATGTGCCAAAAATAACTGAGTCTTGTGATGTGTGAGAAGTAGTTTGGCTGGATTCTGGGAGAAGTGGTATGACTTGGCAATTGGAACTGAGCTCTGCTATTTCCTCATAATCGCTATTGGCCGATGGAAAATGCATCACAGAGTCTAAGCTTATATTTTAATGCGAAAATGTATGGAGGGAGAAATTGTGAATGTAAAGGACATGCTAGATGGCTGTTCCAGTCTTTAAGTGTGCATCCCTGTAGTGAAACTAGAGGTAGGTGTGGTTACTTCCTTTTAATGGTTGCATTTTCTTACACCTTACATTTTCTGCTAGTGACAGTAGATGTGACATTTGATGCTGCTTTTCTTTTCTTCAACTATGGTAAAGTTTGCTATCTTTGTATTGTAGACATATCAGGTTAAAGGAGTCTTTTGAATGAAAACTGCTGTGCTTGTCTTTGAAATCAAATTTTTTGCATATTGTCCAGAGTATCCATGGGATTATTTCAAAAATATTTTGGATGGGTAAAGTGATTGCTCATGTTTGCAAGCCATCAAGGCCATATTGGGCCCCTTTTAGTTCCATGCCATAGTTCTACCTTTAGAAGGATTACTGTAGGTTTGTTCCTCTCTCCCCTTGTCAGTCATTTCAAGAAATTAGGCTCATAAATTTGGTTTTTAAGGGTCATCCAGAACGATGCATCTTGTCACGTGCCAGCTACAACTACTTAATGCTGTAAAAGATTGCTGGTTTGTTTTACTGTGGATTGGGAACACATTGAAGGATTATGGACAAAGTTAACTTGAAAATGGCCTTTGTCAATGAATGTGCTAGGTACAGTTTTGAAATGAATTTTAACCCATAACTTATTAATTCCTTGACTTGTATTCAAGTGGTGATTCAATTGAGGCATGCATCTAAATTATTGATGCGATTGCATGGAAATTGTCCTTCCAGGCGATTATTCCGTTTCCTGGTGGCTGGAATCGGGCTGGTGTGTTCTGTGCTGTGCTGCATCCATCCTCCCTTCAATGCATTTGCCCTTCTCAGCCTCGTCACACCTGGCATGGTGCTTCTTTATGGAGAACTCCGACGGTGAGCGTTTCGTTTGGGGGGATTTTTTGCCAGGGGTGGAACTTCATACCTTTATCAATGCTTTTAATTTTGTTGGGTTCTTGTTTGTTGAGTTATTTTCCACCTGCTAGTACATCCTTATCTGGGTGCTGCATGTATTTGGTTTCTTTATCATAATGGGGACATTTCGTGTCATGTGACTATGGATTCATAGATAAACAAGGAGCATGGATAAGTTTCATTTTCGCAACATCTGTATTTCATTAATCATGATCTGCAGGTTTGAATAAGGAGCCTCACTGTAATTTTCATGCAATTTCAGGTAGAAAAAAGTTTTGCTCAGTCTCCTTCAATGATTCAGGGGACACTGGTTATGGCAAGGGATTCTGGGTGACTAGGGGGATTGGGTAAGTGTGGTGTTGACTAACCTCAGAGTCGTGCAGACTGCTTTTTCAGAAGAGATCTTCAAGGTAATGGTGAGGTACATCTTAAGCAAGTGAAAGATGTTGAAATGTCGCCAGTGTTATGACATTTAGCTGTTTACCAGTTGTCTTGATTGTGTCAATAGAAGAATTGAAAGAGGAGTCAGAATGGAGGATTGCACTCTCTCTGTCCCATGTGACCTTAAATTCTGAATGACTCATGTCCTATATGAGTATGAGTAATTAATCCTTGAGCTCTGAATTATCAAAATCATTCTCTGGGCTTAATTTCAATGTCCCAGTTTCACACCCAAAAATGTATTATTAAAAAGAAAAATTGTTTCATGGGAATGGTTCTGCCCTTGACTTGGGTGAAACATATGACATAATGACATTTTATTAGCTCTTTGGGACTCTATAACTTGGGCAGGGCCCAGGACTCAGAAGACTAGATATAGGAGGGCAATGCAACTGAATGGTTTGGGGTCGTCATCTGGGATGCGTGTTGACGGAACGCGTGCGTCGGTTCTATCGACAGGTGCCACGACAGTCGAGTCGTTCGTCTGGGGATTCGCTCCACGATAACCTGGGTGGTGGCCATCATGTGTTGGATCAACGACCGGGTGTTCTGCGACGTGTGGTCCTCGGTGCAGTTCCCGTACCTGCATGGGGCGTGGCACATCCTCGTCTGCATTGCCGGGTACTGCTCGTGTGTCCTGTTTGCTTATTTCTACGCCGTGGAGGAGTTTCCGCATCGGACCCTGACCCTGGAGTACTGGCCAAGTCCACGCTTCCCCGAGCTTTTCTCCGTCCCTTACATCAACCTCAACAAGGGACGACTCCAGAAGATCGTCTGATCTTCTGGGGTTTTTTTTATGTGATTATACTCATCTCTGATTCCCTGAATACAGGGAATTTATTATATTTTCCTCCAGATGGAGCTGTGGGAGTCCTCAGTTATTGTTTCTTCTTTTCAAGCATTCCACTCAAATGTTTCCATGTTTAATGTTTGAATTTCCCATAAACTGGAAAAAGTTGTAATGCGGGATTTCAGCCTGCAGAAAAACCAAAAAAAAACCTCGTATTTGTGTTCTAGTCAAGATGTGCCCCGGTTGTTTCCCCCTGTCCCTACTCTCTCGTTTTTTTTCTACTTTGGCTTTGCACTGTTGTTTTTTCAATGCCTCTTGCACCAAGAAGTCTGTGCCTTTGCCATTTGCTGTCGACGTTCGCAGGAAAGCATTCCGCTGGAAAAGTTTTGCCTCGACCACGTCTGAGGTTCGAGACAGAATTCTCATATCCTGGTTCGGAACGTCTTGGTTCGAATCTCCCGGAAGTACAAATTTGGAATCAATAAGGCATTGCTGTCTGGGTTGTGAGGAAAGGCAGCTTCTGTCGTTTTATCAAATCTCTTTGCGCTCAGGGGCATGAGAACTGTTGATACTATGCAAAATATTTATTTGAAACACAGGTTTTAGGAGTCAAGAAACTCTCGAGGGTCTGTGTCTCTCCGGTTTTTCCACTTGTGATTGATGGTTTTTTCCTCTTGCATCAAATACGCCGTCGTCCCATCCAAGCAATTTGTTGTTTGTGGAAGTCCATTATTACATTTGCATTACTATTTGTAGTTGTCCAGTGCACCATTTGTCACCCTTTGTGAGGAGCTGGTGTCTTTTGTGTGAATTGTGGTGATGCAATTTTTTTTTTTCCCTAATTATTTCCACCAATTTTTTATTTATTTCAAAGCATATATGCACGTTTGCCATGTGAGGCACCATTCCAGGGATCAGTGCCAAAGCTTTCCCTTTTTTTCCCCCAATACTGGTGATGCAAACTTCCGATTTGCTCGTGATGCTGGGAGAAGATCTGCACCAGTGCGGCCATTATCATCGATGTGATCGTGACCAAAGTTCCCCCAAACGGCATTCAAGGTTTTCGTTTGTTTATTTTTTCCCACCTCTTTGTGTTTCCCAATAAACAAGTGATTCTACAACCTCGGAGTTCTCATACTTGATCTACAGTTCGCGCGGCCTGGTTGCCATGGCGACGATTTCCAGTAGGTCCTGAATTTTGCAAGGAAAGAACGACTGCAAATGCATATCTCCGTCCCCTTTGGTGTCGATCGGACAAACACCACCGTTTGGCAGGAACGATCGAAGCCCCACAAAGAAGTAAAATGGGTTCCAATCCAGTTTTGCTTCACGAAGGAAAGACCTCAGTGCAAATCTCGCCCTTTCGCCATAGACGGGCTGAGTCGTCTTCGGTTGAGGAAGGGGAGAAACGTGATGTTCCCCTCTCCCTAAAGGATTAGAGGGGATTTCCGAACCCCCCTTGCTCCAAGATTAAAAAGATTAGCGAAGGTTCCCTCTTTTCAGTCCCGCCAGGGAAGACCGACCTTCACCCCAAGTGCCCATCCCCCCGTCCACAGTCGTGATGATCGTGCACCCACGTTCCATTCGAATAGAGGGCTGCAAATGGAGTGCAGGTGGAGTAAGAGTTCCGCGCGGATCCCGTCATGGGCAGATGGCGACGAGAGAATGCGAGCGGAAGCGCCAAGCTGAAAATGGGTCATGCGGGACTCGATGAATGGTGTCTGTTCGCGATCGCCTGCTCTTTGCCCGAGGTGACGTCAGATTCCACGGAGGGAGCCTCATATGCGCAAATGTAAAATTCCCAGGATTTCCGGACGGAGTTCCCGTAACGTCATCCTTCGAGTACTTCATTTTTCGCTCTCGGGAAACCGAGTTGAGATGCGAAGGCGTGAGCGAACTGCCGTCTTGCCCCTTATTTCCATTGCGGGGGGCCCGTCTGGAGCCCTTACGGCCGAGACCAGAAGCGTCCACCGTTTTTTTTTTCCGTGCATGCCGTTTCGTCAACACTTCACGGTGAGAACAGATTTCTCATCCTCGGACGATTGATTCGACGATTGATGCAAATCGGAATGTTTTGAGTTTTCAGCACGCCGCATTTCCGACGGCGAGAAACGCAAAAGAGTCTCAGTATCAATCTGAGAGATCCTGAGAGATCCGCGCAGAGCGTCATGGATATCTTGCAACGAATCTCACTCATTGCGGGAGCTACCTCATCGAGAAAGCCATGCAAATCATGCAAGCTCTCCCTTACAAAAATGTACCATGGGTTAACCTGCGGTATCATGCGTGGCAACATAGCTTAACAGAGTTGGAAGGTGCGACAAAGGTGTTGGAGGTGGCAAGGTGGTGGATGGCGAGGGAGGGGAGCGAGAAGTGTTGGAGGTGCAGTAGAGGCAGGCAGGTTGGGATGAAAAGTAAGTTTGTCAATTCGATTTAGATCTACAACGGGAAAATGGAATTTTTGTCCACCTCGCAGATAATATTGCGGAAGCAAAATGTGATGAAGATGCTGAAGGCAATTTAAATTAATTAAAAATTAAAAATTAATTTAAATCAAGGAACAACGGGTCCTACGCAGCCGCATGATATTCGCATCGTGTGAACTCGCCCCCACGTGTCGATCTAATATCACGCCGATCCATGCCAAGCCATGCCCTGAAGCAGTTCCCCATGCATAGGATAGGATTCTATGTGGCTCTCCACCCGAGGAAGGAATTATCTCGAGATATGTATTGTCGTGACCAAGAGCCATCACCGAATTATTGGCGATGCCGGCGGAACGTCCATAGAATCAAATTGGCATTCGCCCATTATTGACAGTTCAGGCCAAACGAATCCATGGCGATGAGGAGAAATCCATTCCACGCGAAAGATGCCATTGGAATCGAAGAGAATTCCCGGAAACACCTCTAAACGGCCAGGGAGGTCTCTACTCCCCCGATGCCCTTCGGCAGCGCAGTCGGCTCACCCGAGCGAGGCGAAACGCGGCGCCGGGGGTGGGGGGCTGGGTTCGTCCTTGCTCCGTGCGAGTTGGAGCGTTTTCACCCCTCTCCGTCGGCGGGTGTTGAGACGGGCGTTCTGACCCTTTCCATGGAACCGTGGCGAGGTTTCAATGCAGTCGAGTCGCGCTTTTATCCATTCGACAGAGGCTCACTCGGAGTTTGAATTTAATTTCGCACGGAACGACTCTCTTGTGCCTTTTCAACACATTCACGATGATTTACCTTTCGTAAAAATGAAGGCATCTAGCTGAATGTCGTCTGGAGGCGAAGGATTCCTTTTGTGAATCAATCAGAGGCTGCCTGCCAAAATTTGATGAAAAAATTGAAGCAATTACTGCTTCAGCACATCACCTGATAATCGATGGCATGGCCAATCTCCCACAGGAAACGTGCCGAAGGATGAGACAATTCCATCTCCCTCCTATCCACATCCTCACCTTTTCTCAGGGGTGGAGAGGATTAGGATGAGCTCCCTTCCTCGATCCCCCTGACCCCCCC